AATTAATCAATAAAAATTCTCTATGGCTAATGCGGTTTAAATGCTGCTCACGCCTCTGATATTAGGAGGTGACTGTCCCTACTATCTCCTTCCAAAAACAAAACAAAGCAAAACCAAACCTGAGGAATTGGAAGCATGAAAAGACAAACACGGATAAAGGAAGACCCAAAGACGAAGGAGCATTTTTTTGAGGGAGCAGAAAGTCTGCTGGCATCCTGTTGGGACGGGTCACAAAGGATAGCGAGCTTAGAAATTATTCGCTGTGGCTCTTGCCATTAATCTTGAAGGAAGAAAACGAGCCCACAGAAGTGACCGGCAACTAGCGGAAAAGGAAGAGAGTGCCCACAAGGCCTGGTATCCTCTAGAGACCTCCGCCCTGGTGAGGCTTAAACTGGCCTTGTGTGTGAGGCAGCTGCCTAAATATCTCGTGAGCCTCTCTTGGGGCTCGTGAGGTTTTGTGACCAGTGAAGCATTAACACGGCAGAAAGGTAGCCGATGTTTTTGAAGAAAGGACACGCGAATTTACCTCCGTTAGACACTACTGCACTCTCTGTGAGACGTCCTGCAGAAAACCACCTTGCTTTGGGAAAAGACCCAAATTCACTGTGTGCTTCTTTGGGAGTTTGGACTGAGACTTAAAGATTTCCCATCATGATAAAATATGGAGCAAAGTGTCCCCTCCCCGCCTGTGTAATTCACAATGCTGCTGCAGCACGTTAAAACATACAACACATGCTCAAACACACTAATATGCTTACAGTTTAGCGGCCCTTACGTTCTTTAAAGACGCGGCGTTCAGACCATCATATTGCCGCCCAAATCCCTCCTTGAGCTCCGCACTTGCGGGAGTCTTTCCGTGGCTGGTACCCACCTCCTAATCCCCAGATCCTTAAGTGTTGAGTGCTTCCTGCCTTCTCAGAACGTTGTTGCTAGTGAAGAGTGATCCTTAGATAACCTGAGCTTCCCCACTACACCCTTGAGCCCACCGTCTCCACTGCTTCTTCCGCGTCACCCCACGTGACACATACGTTTTGTCTCTGGATTCGTCACATGCGTGGGGATGAAGATGCCATCTGAATATGCTCGTGAAAGTCTCAGTACGTGCCAGTCGCCTCTGAATTGTGGATGTGAGTGCTGGACCGGGTGCTGTGTTAGAGCATTTCCCAGCTTGCCTTTCGTCTGTGATCTCTTTGTCTCGTGGCTCAGGTAGTTTTCTGTCCCGAAGCCAGAGTGGGTATACGTACATATAGACGGGTGAGTTGCAGATCACAGACAAGTTGATAAAGGCCAAAGGTCAAGAAGACATCTCTGCTAGGATTTCTATACTCCTGTGAGAAACATTTGCACCTTCTGCTTTCTTGTGTTATGTTTCTGGAGGAACCTTAAGTCCCAGATCAGCCAAACTAGCAATGCGGAGCCTGGTAAGTTAATGCAGAAACCAGTGAGTCTTAAAGGTCACATCTATTACACAATATGCGTTTTTCTTTTCCTTTCTTCCTGTCTCTCCATCACCTCTCTTCCCCCTTTCTTCCCTTCTCTCCTAAATTTTATAATACCTTTGTGTTCCCAGAGATAGACAGGGTGAGTCAAAGTCCAGCCTCTTTTTGCATAATAGTCACAACGTGCATGGTTTCTATTTAGCAGTTCTGTATCTCATCTGCGGCTCTGACTCAGCAAGCCCGACAGTTGGTGAAATTCCTTCTCTGTCCTTTGGGCACTTAGTGTAGACCTGTCTTCAGTACGGTCTCCACTGTTGTTCAGGCCGTGCCGAGGAAGCTCTGGTGCTTACTGGCATCCTCACGTTTGTGACCTGTAAGTAAGAGAAACATGGCCCTAAGCTTGAGCTGGCTGTCTTATTAACAGGCAGCCACATGTGCCCCCCAAGGCTGAACTCCATTTGTGAAATCAGAGACTGGACGAGTCATGACCGTCTATAGTACTGCTGAGCCCGAGGTTATCACTTGCTTCCATTCCAGCTGCCATAGCCCAAGACAACCTCAGAGCAACCGGGTTCTCTTTGTGCCTCTAGGAGAGAATTTTTTTCTAGGAGAGAATTCCTTGCTGGTAATTGCTAATTGTTTCCCTTAGACCAACTGCAACAGGACATGGTAAGCGGAGTCGATAACACCCCTCCTAATTTTAGCTCTCATTTAAAAAGTTTTCGTGTATTTCCCCAAACCAATCAACCCTTCTTTTATCTTAAAAACAGGGCTATGTGTAGGTGGGAGGATGCTGCATGTTGGGGAGCAACAAGAGATGCCTCTTTGATGTAAAGCAACATGACATTATAATAAAGTTCCCCAGTGATGTCCAATTATAGCCACTCACTTCTTTATTAGTAATTCCGCAACTCTAATACATAAAATAACTTGACCATTTTTGGAATTTGTTTGACTAATGGACTGAAAGCCGATAGAATAAGGATAAGTTTCATAATTAGGTTTTGCCAAGAAACTGTGCAAACCATCTATAATGTGGTCCTCTCCTGATTTTTAATGAGGACGCTGCCAGGGACTGAAGCCTCTGGCAGCATTCACTTCATATTTTAATTACCCATGGTAATTTTGACAATTACACACATGTCATAAATCACATCATAATGACCCGTGAAGAAAGCAGATTTAATTACCGGAAGGGGAGTTCTACAGTTAAACAGGTAGAAGGCAAGTGCCCAGCAAGATGGGAATCACATTTGAAACTGGAGCTGCCAAATTCCACATTCTAGAAGAGGCAGACTCTGCAGCCCGTGCCACAGGACTTCACGAAAGAAAACTGTTGTCATCGCCTGCTTTAACACGGAAGAACCCCGATATCATCGTTCCTGTTATTACTAGAGAAAACTGAACAAGCAGAAAATGATAGAACTTGCTTTTGTTTTGTGTGTGTGTGGGTGCATCAGAGAACTGAGTTTGCCAGGTAAACGTTTACTTTGAAACAATGGGTCACAGCTGAGGTCTACTTGCTGGAGAAGGAGCCATTGATACTATATCCTGTTAGGGCTAGACAGATGGGGATTTTAATGGATTTCTGGTGGCTGAATGAAGATGAGAAGCTGTGGGCTGCAACACTAGAGAAGTCCCCAGAAGATTTCACCAGCATCTAGATTTATTGCCTTTCTTTTGCTAAATGGACACACAGACAAACTACCTTCTAAATATGTATATTTATAACCACAGACGAGTGCTGCTTTTGTATGTGAGGGAGCGCAGGAAAGAAAATGCAGACATGTCTGCTCCATGGCATGGTTAAGGGGAAGGTTTTTTACTGTGAATAAGAGAGAGAAAATATCCAGGGGCATCTGGAAGAGTCCAGAGTAGAGAGAAAAGAAAGCAGACCAAGCCTGGCCTGTGGCTTCTGCAAGAGAAGGGAGAAGAGAAAGAGACAAAAAGAAAGAGACAAAAAGAGAGAGACAGAGATAGAGACACAGAGAGAGACAGATGAGAGAAAGAGACAGGCAGGCAGGGACAGAGAGACAGAGAGAGAGTGAGAAAAAGAGACAAGTAGAGACAGAGAGACAGACACAGAGAGAGACACAGAAAAAGTTTGGGTGAAGTAACTGGAGGAAGGGAATGAGTAGGAACTAGGGGCTCCTAGAAGCTGGAGGGGGGCTTTGATGTGTTCTTCTCGCACGTAAAACGGACCACATTCTCAGGCATCAAAATCTACATTAACAAATTTAAAGGACTGTGAATCAGACAGAACGTGTTCTCAGACCATAATGGAGTTAAACTAGAAATCAGGAACAAAATAAAGCTGCACAAGTCTCTGGAGGGGTGGAAATTAAGTAACACGCTTCTAAAGAACACGTGCGTGAAAAAGTCTAAAAAGAAATAAACTTTAAAAAAATGCTTGCTGCTGTTAAGTGATTACAGCTAAGTCCCAGGAAAGTCGGTTGCTTTCCTAAGCGGGAGCTGTAAATACTAAAATTCAAAGTTTGAAAAATATCATTTGCAATAGTAACCAGTGATGTGTAACGTGATGTGCCCTGCCCCCAGATCCCAGTCACCCGATCACCCCAGATCCCAGTCACACGATCACTAGGGCACCCGACACTAAACCGAGTACTGCAATACTCAGGGGGCTACTAATTTCATTTTCGACTGAATGACATCTTCGCCTTATGAGTTTACCAGAATGCAATCCCACTGTAAGAAGCAACTGTCCTCATGATAATTACTAACCACTTCAGCCTTTGTGAGTCAGAGTTCGAGAAATGACTTATTCCTAAAGCTTTGCCCGAAAGCTACATAGGTATGTATGTATGTAAACATCACCATTAGTTTCATATATTTAGATGGAAATAATCCTAGAAATGCAAGAGGCAGTTTTGCTTATTTGTAGACGAATGTACTGCCTGTAATTTAACCTCCTTTAGATTACTCAATTACCGTCTATGAATGCCAGGAATTACACGGTGTTATACTGCTCATAGCTAATTGGATTACAGAGGGGAATTTAACCTTACATGAAATAAATAGCACAATACTCTGGCTCCCCCTTCCTGTTTCTATTTTTTGATATAAAAGCTTTATTGTACAGTAAATGTACAGTAAATGTACAGGCGACGTTCTCCTTCTAAGCGTCTGGCTCAAGGCTTTTTAGTGCATTCCCAGAGGTGCGTACCGTCGTGACCACCTGATTTCAGCGTAAGTCCGCCAGCTACAAGGAAAAATTGACAATTAAAAACAATCGCTTCCCAGTTCTTCCCCGCCCCCAGAACTCCTGGCAACCCCCAAACTTTCTGTTTCTATGGGCGTGTCTATGCTAATTTTATAGCATTGGAATCACACAACATGTGGCCTTTGCGCCTGGCTTCTTTTACTTGGTATATATATTGAGGTTTATACGTAAACTGGCATCCACCGCCTCCTGTGTTTGAACGGCAGGTCTCCAGCTGCTGTGGCTGTAGCCCGGCTAGCAGATGTGGGTTTCTGGGGTTGGGCCAGAAGGGGACGATTGTGTCTGTCTTTCAGACCAGTCCTCTGCTGCCTCATCCGGTGCTGGGAGCTCTGCCACAGCAAACTCTGGAGTTGCCCCGTCATGCCTTTCCCACCAGGACAGACGAACCTGGAACTGTGAGTCCAAATTCACCATTCTCTCCTTAATTGCTTCGGGTAGGGAATCCTGTTACAGCAACGCTACAAAAGTATGCCATGCATGTTGTATAGTACAATTCTTCATTCCTGTTTGTGACTAAATAGTCAGAATGGTGCTTCAAACAAATACTTTGTGCATTTTGTTTTGTTTTGGTTTTGGTTTTTCAAGACAGGCTTTATCTGTGTAACAGCCCTGACTGTCCTGCAACTAGCTTTATAGACCAGGATGTCCTCGAACTCACTGAGATCCGCCTGCCTCTGCCTCCCGAGTGCTGGGATTAAAGGCGTGCGCCACCACTGCCCAGCATGTTGATGTTTTGTGCAGGTAGATTCTCAGATCTCTTAGGAATACAACTGAAGGATAGGACTGTTGGCTCTCAAGAGAATTCTGTTCATATCATCTCTTTTCTTTCTGAGATTACAGAATTTCTCCCCTCCCTTTCCTCCCTCAGAGACCCTCACATATACCCCTCCCTGCTCTTCTTTAAGTGCATTAATTACCACTATATGCATATATGCAGATTTTTAAACATTAATTTTATTTTTATTTATTAACTTAAAATTAATTGAATTTAAATTAAATATTAATTAACAATTAATTAATCAAATTCAAATTAATTAATTGCTACTGCATGTATATATGTATATGTATGTTCCTAAATATAACCTACTCAGTTGGTATAATGTTACTTGTATGTATGTTTTCAGGGCTAACCATTTGGCACTGGACAACCAATTTGTGTGCTCTTCCACGGAGAAGACACCTTTACCAACCACGACTTTCCTTAGTTGTCTAGAGTTCTCTGTGTGGGGTAGAGGCCTCTGGGCTTTCTCCCATTCACTTGGCACACTTATTGTTGCCCTCTTTGTTCAGCTCACGTTTGGGCATTCATGCTGGTGAGATTTTACGAGTGTAGTAGCTTTAGGTATTCCCAGGAGACACAGTCTTATAGCAAACTCCCAGATTAACTGTCGGTCACAATCTTTCTGCCCCATCTTCTGCAATGCTTTCTGAGACTTAGGGGCAGGAACCGTTTTGTAGGCGTGTCCACTGGGACTGGGTTCCACAATTCTGCATTTTTACTGGTTACGTGTCCACTGGGACGGGGTTCCACAATTCTGCATTTTTACTGGTTGTGGTTTTCTATAGTGGTCTCTGTTGCAAGGAGAAGCTTCCTTGATGAGGGATGAAGACAACACTTATCTGTGGGTATAAGGACACATATTTAGAATGTAGTTAGGGATTTTGCTGGTTAAGTAAATCAGTGGTTGTAGATTCTCCACCAATACCATGGCTTTACAAGCACTGAGCAGTTATCTAAGTTTCAGTACCAGGCATGGCTTTCCTTGTGTTGAGTGGGTCTTAAGTCCAACTAGAGACTTGTTGGTTTCCATCAAAGTTTGTGCGCCACTATTGCACCCTTAGGACTGCTGCACCATGTTGGTTGTTGATGTGGTTCATAGGTGCCATAGATGGACAGTAATGTTGGTTGCCTCTCTCCAAAGCTAACCCTCAGGGAATGGTTGTTTGGTTCAGCTCATGTTCAGAAATCTCTGGACCCTGTTTCTCAAGTACATGGTGTCTTAAGCAATATGGACTTATTTCCACCTCTGGGTGGCAAAAGACATAGACTGGATGTTTGAGGGTCTGTTGGACATTCCTGGCCAACCATTCAAGGAGGGCTTTTCATGTCTGATATTGGGTTTTTCCTCCGTATTCTTTAGTTTTGGAGGAAGCACTGTCAGGCCAGATGAGAAAAGTCCATTAAATTATATATGTATAGTTTACACAGAATTATGTTATAGGTTTCATTTTTAAAGAAAATATTTCATAGAATGCTTTCTTGTGTCTTTTCCAGACATCCTGATTTTTATTTCTCCTCCTTCTGTTTTTACCTCCCTCCCCTGAAGAGCTCCCATTTCCCATTCTCTTTTATAGGTCATTTGTATCCCTCTGTCCCAACATCTCTATTGCTCCCCAGCCCCTTCCTGCAATGGTCCTGCTTGGCTTTCCTGGTTTCTATATTCACATCTGAAGATTTGGAACTAGGAGCTTTCAATGAGAAAGAACGTGTGATATTTATCTTTTTGGGTCTGAGTTACCTCACTCAGTATGATCTAGTTCCATCCATTCTGCGAAGTTCATTATTTCGTTTTTCTTTACAGATGCATAGTGCATATGTATCACATTTTTTGTTATCTGCTTATTGGCTGAAAGAGATTTACTTTGTCTCCATTTCCTAGCTATTATGAATAGAGTGACAACAAACATGGCTGAGCAAGTATCTGTGGAGAATGATGTCACGTCCTTTGGAAATATGCCAAGTAGTGTCATAGCTAGGTCGTACGATATAGTCTGCACATATATATATAGTCTTATTCTTCACTGTTACTCTGTATTTGGACACATACAACTTTCACATTTGGGTTTTCTCAGTAGCATTTTATTGACTTTTCCTCCTGTGTGTGGGTAATATAGGTCTGTCATACTTTCTTACTGGGAGCCAGAAAGTTGTTTTTTTTTTTTGTTTTTGTTTTTGTTTTTTGTTTTGTTTTTCGAGACAGGGTTTCTCTGTGGCTTTGGAGCCTGTCCTGGAACTAGCTCTGTAGACCTGGCTGGTCTCGAACTCACAGAGATCCGCCTGCCTCTGCCTCCCGAGTGCTGGGATTAAAGGCGTGCGCCACCATTGCCAGGCCCAGAAAGTTTTAATAATATAATGTAGCATCTAAATGAATCCCTTAACCCTCTCACCTCAGAATTGCTGTTTTATGTTGTTCCATTTGTCTGGAGCCATTCTTGAAGCAATCCTCTCAAGTTTGTATTCTTTGTGTGTGCCTCTACCCACTCAATTGTGTTGAAATAAGAGCGGAGGGGCTGCGTCCCCGGCACCCGGCCACCCACATGGCTAGCTTATGCCCAGAAATAATTACACGGAAACTGTATTCTTTTAAACACTGCCTGGCCCAGCTAGTTCCAGTTTCTTATTGGCTAGCTCTTACATATTAATCTAACCCATTTCTAATATTCTGTGTAGCCCATGAGGTGACTTACCAGGGAGGATCTTAACCTGCATCTGTCTGGCGTGGGAGAATCATGGCGACTCCTTGACTCAGCTTCTTTTTCCCAGCATTCCCTTCTGTCTGCTCCGCCTACCTAATTTTCTGTCCTATGAGGGCCGAGGCAGTTTCTTTATTATTAACCAATGACCTTCCTCCATCACAATTGTATGACTGTACTGAGATCCCCTTAAAAGCCTTGAGCCACAATCCTAAGCAGGAGATCTACATCATGTCTCCCAAGGACTAAGGAACACCTTGGAAAAGAGGCCGGAAAAAGCAATGGTAAAAGCTGGAGAAAGGGGAGGAGTCCTACAAAATCCTGTCTCTTGGGTAGGGTGATCCACTGAGAAAGCATCTGTGTGGGTGTGGCTCCTAGCTGAGTATGGGTGTAAGTGGGGTGTCGTGAGGAAAGGTTTGGCTGACTCACTAAGAGAATGCACATACCTGTTATCAAATCATTGTGGGTGTGTTCACCAGAGAAGACCGCTCAGGCACGGGTTTAAGCCAACAGGAAGTCTATTTGTCGGCTGGCAGCTACATTGGATGTTCAGGATCCCAGGGGGGCACTGAGCCTTCCTCAGGGTGAGCTTTTAAGCATAAAGACCATGTTCCGGGTTGACATGCTTCAAGTAACAAGAACAGTCGGCCAGAAGTGGAAGTATAAATGCTAAAAAGGAAGGTTAGAACATGTAGAAGCCTTCCCAGAACTATGGACTTTGATGGATTCAGCCTGTGTTTTAGTTTTGGCAGGTGGTGCTGTCTATGTGCTGAGTTTTGTGGCCTGAATGGTACTTCCTTCATGGAGTCAGTTGTGTTAAGGTCTGGGGCCTTGTTACAATATTTCGTGTATATTAATAACATTTGGGAGGATTTGTTTTTTTACCTTGTTATGTGTCTGTACAACTTCAGAGTAGCTTCTTGGCCCACAAGGCTGAAATTACGTAGTATTTACTCCATCACACAGAAAACAAAACCCTAACAGCAGTGCTCTCGGTAATTACGTTGACCAGACAGCACATGCCTCAAAATCATAGGTAAAGGTTGACTTTAATATACATTGGCAAAGGCCACAACTCTCATAAGGAACTAATCCTAAAAGTTTGCGTTTAGGATTAGTGTGTTTTAGGAGAGGTGAGAAAAAAACAAGGATAAGAGCAGTAAAAAACCATAGAAGGTAGGAGAATTAATGAGTACGACAGAGTAGTCTGTAAGATAATGGGATCTGATATTGTCGTCGTTAGCCTAAAATCCCGTCAAAGAAGATCAGTGCCTCTAGAGAGACCACATGGAAGAGCTTGGAAGAAAAACACCAAAGACCTGTAGCTGCCTTCCCCTCTGAGTGTGATGAGCGCGGACATACTGCACATCTATTTCCATGGGCATTTTGATACAGAGGAGAAATGTGGTCTAAAGCATTTTACTTGCAAAAGAACGTACTGCAGAATTAAACACCAGGGGGGCAAACCTTCCTTATTTCCATATTGAGATCGTTCTATAGAGACGCTATAGAGTTGACATCTGAAAATGTTGACAGGGCACTGGTTGGACTGTTTGCCTCACTGGGTCAGTAAAGAAGATGGGATGCATAATTCTGCCCACGGATTGATTGGTTATACAGTACCAGGCGGTTTTGTTCCCACTATGAGAGTCGGCAAGAAAGGTCCAAGTCAAAACATTCCTAAGCAGCATTATTAATAGTTGCATAGTGCAGTCCTTAGGTTAGACACAAGAAGGATTTTTATTGTCAAAAGTAAAATGTGCCAATTACTGTTCGGTGGTGAAGAAGGTTCTCCTTGAACTATAGCCTCGCTCTCTCTACATTTCCTGGTTGTTACAACTAAGTAAACACCATTGGAGAAGAAATAATAACTTCCCAATTTCCCCTTAAGTTTTTTAAGAGAAGAAACTGGGTGTAGAGA